TATTTAAGACGAACAATATTGTGAAGAGAAACTTTATTAACTTAAGATAACAAGAAATTGAATAATTTACTATGTTTGAGAGAAAATAAGAAAAATATTTTGAGAAATTTTCAAGATGGTTAATATATAATATAAATTATAATAATAGTTAATTTCTAATACCTCTAAGCTATGCCTGTACGAAATTTGTATTTTCATCAAAATCGACGCATCTAGGCAGGCCCCATAGATACTAAGTAGTAAAATAAATGTTATTGTTTTTTTGGTCTGAAACTCTTATTTAGTATAATAGGTGCTATAACTTAGTATTATTTACATAATAACTTAAAAATAATTGTTCACATACCATTAAAGCGCAGTGCAATAAATTCATAATATATTACGTGCTTCTGAAGAAGTGTAAGCGATTTCGAAGAAAGCAGCAGCGTTTAAAATAAATTAACGTAAACTAGTATTAAATTGCTTATTTTAGTTATAAACGAAGTTTCTTGTTAGCTTTATAAACATAAGAGAGCAAAGTGAAACATTTATGGAGTATTTAAAATTTCAATTATCTTCTTTTTTTATATGGTTTCGAGTGTATAGTTGGGATCTAATTTTATTTTACGAGTTATTTAATGGAGATTAGTTTTCATACTTCCAAATTTTCAGTCTCACGTTTAATGTCGGCGTAAATGGCCATCATAGAAATATTTATAAAAATTTTCGAGAAGAAAAATATCTTGTTAGCTCACGGATAACTTATGACATAATAGTGTACATATAGTTAGTTGTTACGGTAATATGATTTTTATTTGATTATTATGTAGGTACTATTAAAATGTAATTTAATTGAAAAATCTTCAAATTTAGTAGCCAAGTAATACAGATAGTACTATTGTCTTAATTCAAACAAATAATTATTTAACATAATACCCGAGACTGAATCAATTGTACAAAAATCAATTTTATTTTATAGGTACGAGTAATACTATTACCTGCAGTAAGAGGTGGCACATTTTAATGTGGTCGTATTTAATTGTAAAATCGTTAATCATGACATTAGTTTTAATTGGTACCAAGGCAATCAATAAAATTTACAAATAGATTATCATTGAAAGAAACTGTATGTACTCTTGGGTTGTTTTCATTCTTAGTCCATAAATGATAAACAACTAAGACTCCACCAGTTTAGTATTTTAATTTTAAAACGATAGTTATGACCATGTAAAATATTATAAGTGTTTTAAAATGCTAATAACTTATTTTTAAATATGACAATCAATAAAAGACTGAGAGGTCCCTATTATTACCTTTGAATTTATTACTAGCAGATCAATTCACCCTTATAATATTAAAATTTACGACACAAAATGGATGATTCTGTGAACACAAGTTATGTATGCGGTCGTAAGACGAAAACAACAAACGAGGATGTAAATTCCTCATAAAAGACTTTGAGCTTTGAAAAGCTATCGGGTATTATATCTATATATTACTATTGATATTGGTCAACGATATTACAACGAAGAACAAACATCACTATAGCTGTAACGTGTGGGTACGTAAACAAATATATATAGTTATTGTCGTCGGTAACCGTATAAATAATATTAATATGTTATGTTTATAATATATAATATATTATTTGTGTATAAACAAACACCACACACACACACACACACACACACACACACATGATTTTATATCTTTTATAGAAAAACCAAGCAAAATCCACATAGTAAGCCGTTGTGTTGCCATAATAAAACCAAAATCAAACGCCATAAAACCATTCGCACACAATATACGTATAATAATATAACAATAATATGTATCATAGGTAGGCATGTGGTTGTATACAATATGTT